TAGAATATTGGGTACCATCGCACACGTGTCGGCCATAGGAGTAGGAAGGTTGGTAACTGACAGCCTAAAAGCGTCCCGAGTGCTGAAGTGGACGCCAGAACGTCTGGCTGCGATCATTGTAGACAGGGCCTGTTAGCCGGAGTACAGTCCCGACGGGGTTCTCGTTAGTACCCAGTGCCCGGTACCGTGCTTTACTGAGCGTGATGAAGTGTTTCATTATCTGACCTCATCAGGGCATGGTTTGCCGGAGTCCAGCGGTCTGTATCTGTATCTCTATATAGCCAGGATAACCGCCCTTCGGCGTAACACTAGCTACCTACACACCCGCTGGCTGTTTTACACCGATCGACTTGTTACACCTAACCCTTAAACATCTAACTCTAAACATTGTTTAAAGCTGTCTAATGATAATGGCCCTACTGTGGTTGGTGACAGCGAGTTCCACTCTGCGATAGTTCTAGGAAAGAAATCCTTGGTTGATAACTCTGGTACTTGAAGGCATGACTATTTCTTGTTCTCTTCTGGGCTGGTATTAGGTACTTAGTAGTTGGGACGTCCACCAGTTTATTAGTCATTTTGTACATCATGCACAGTCTGGACATTTTTCTTCTGCCCTTCAGTGACACCCACTGTAGGTTTCTTTTCATTTCCGTGCCACCAGCACCTCTTTCATAGTTTCTGGTACTTGAAGGCATGCCTATTTCTTGTTCTTATCTGAGCTGGTACTTAGTCCCGATGGGGTTCGCGTTAGTACACAGTGGCCGGAGCCGTGCTTTACAGAGCGTGATAAAGTGTTTCATTATCTGACCCCATCAGGACATGGCGGAATCTCATTCCGACGGACCCTGTAGGCTACACCGCCACGGCTACTCTGTACATCTTACTCTAACTACCAAGTCCCAAATTTCACTTTAACTCGCAAAATGATTGGAATTTACAGCGAAGACCTTTAACTCGGGAAGAAGACAACTTTTACTGAGGATTGAAGAGGTCGTGCTGCTTTCACTTTGCAGTTGATGCGGCGTATAGTCTGTACATGGTCCGGTAGAATATTGGATACACTAGTAGCCTAGTGCCATCTTAGTTTCTTTATTTCCTGGGGTTCCCGTGCTCTTTTCTTCATCCCCCTAGAGGTAGGGGTACCAATAAGGCCCGACAAGTCGACACATTTTGGAATTGTTTGCTGTTTTAGGTGATTGTTTCCTTGTTTGTTTTTTGGGCCTTTCTTTTGTTTTGTCCCATTGTCTGTCCTAGCCTTGGCAACAACATTGTGTTGTACTAGCATGAAAGTTCATCTGAGTTGGTAAAATACATGAAGAAAATTGAATTGTTCTCCAACTCTCCAGCTCAAAAGCAAAATTAACTCAACAGAAATTTTCGACTGAATCGCTCAGTCTTCAACATTGTGTTGTGTTACTGGCAATATCAATGCAAACCAGAGGACTAAAAGTCTATAGACATACAGGCTTCCACCCAGACATTGTTATCAAACAGTCGGCAGACATTCCACTATCTTCCGTGACCAATAACAGACCTGAAGGCAAACTTACAGTCATGCATCACGTCGGAGGTTTTTGTAGAATCAATACGGACAGTCTCTATTCTTCAGACAATTCGGACCGTCATGGTACCAAAGTCTTAAGCTCCTACCAGGCTTTGGATGTGGTACAATGTACTCACTCTCTATCGGACCAACTCCCCCGGCATGTTATGTCTCTATTTGGCCAATTTCTACTCTTTCCAGCCGCCTACCCAAGCCTGGTAGAGGCTAAAAGTCTTGAGTAGTATCTGAAGTGTCCTTGGAGCGCAGAATATATTTTCTGTGGAATCGATACGGACCGTCTCTATTCTTCAGACAATTCGGGGCCGTCATGGCACCAAAGTCTTAACTAGTATCTGACGGGACCTTGGAGCACGTCTTGGTTTTAGATTTTAGATTGTCTTGGGCCAGACAATAGGACATTTCAAGACCATCAACGTACTCTTCAGATGACCGGGCCTGTCAAGGCACCGGCGACTAGACTGGCATCTAACGGGTCCTTAATTTGCTTGGAGCGTCTTGGTTTCAGATTTGAGCCAGACAATAGGACTGCTCAGGCCCATCAATGTTGCAGGTATGAACTCATATCTGACGGGTCCTCGGAGCGCTTCTTGGTTTTAGATATGGACCAGACAATAGGACAGTTTGGGGCCAGTCAAGGCACCAAAGTCTTCACTTATATTGTCTAGTATCTGACGGGGCCTTGGCTTGGACCACGTCTTGGTTTCAGATTTTAGAGAGGGTCTGCATGGGGGGTAGTGATTACGAAATACGCAAAAATTTTGCGGCAGATTACGAATTACGTTAAATTCTCAGAGCTGACTACGACTTAACGCTTTGCTGCTGATGTACTAATTACGAATTACGTAGATTTTTGGGGAGGCTGCCTACGGATTACGAAGGCTAAAAGGCCTGATTACGCCTAAGGAAAAGGGCATGCAGGCCCCCAGACAATAGGACAGTCTAGGGCCCGTCAAGGTACAGGCGACTTGACTATAATATCTGACATGTCCTTGGACCGTGTCTTGGTTTTTAGATTTCATATTGTCTTGGTCCAGACAATAGGACAGTCCAAGCCCATCAGCGTACCAGGTCTGAACTGATATCTGACGGGTCCCTCCGAGCGTTTCGCGGTTTTATATCTGGGACCAGACGGCGTTGACCTTGTCATGACCTTGTCACTCGTCTGTCGGCGTGATAGACGACAGGTCAAAGGTCAGGTCAATGGCGGTAACCGTGAATGATAAATTGAGAAGTGACGGTTTTATACTCGTAATAAGCCGCAGGACGTGATGCCTTAGAACAACTATAGAACACGGGATATCCAGTATTGTAAAAAAAGTGATCTCAAACCAGTTTAGCTCACAGAAGAGGTAATCCTTCTACTGGCCGTGACAGAGAGAAGACAGACGCTACAGTATGTACAGTATTTACAGGTTCATTGTACCGGGGAAACTCCCCTAGCTCTTTTCAACAAGCACAATGAAAATTGGACCACGGCTTAACGTCCCGTCCTAAACAGAAGCGTGCATGTTGGGATCGAGCCCCCAACCTTTCGGTCCAGAGGCAGGGTCGTGAACCACTGGACTGCACGCTATTGTAACTGAAGTTATGTTGTTTTCTTTCATCGATGAAGGTTGGGCATCAATGTAATGAGACACACAAATAATTGTAATCACAAGCAAGTGGATAGATTTTCAAATTTTCAATTTTCTTGTGTTATTGATGGTATTTTCTTTCGTCGATGAAGGTCAAATATCTAGAGAATGAGATACACAACTGTGTATATGAGAGAATTATTGCTCATCGACAAGTAACCGTATGGATTTTGAAGCACGTCAACTCCAGTTGGTTGAGTAACAATTTTTCTTTCATTTTGTTGCCATAAAGCCGAGCGATGATGAACGGCTTTTATCGTGACCCCCATATTACCTACCGATGACCTTACTCGGGGCAATGGCGGAGGGTCATTCGGCTCATGACAGCCGCACAGACAGCTAAAGTTCACCCAAACACCAACAAGCACATATGAACTGTCAAAGTTTCTCATTTTCTAGCGATGGCCTCGCTTCGGGAGGCGACTGGAAAGAGTAGATAGAGATAACATGCCGAGGAGTTATGAAAACTTAAACTTTTCTCGAACTCAAAATTTGACTCACCAGGAATTTTCGACTGAATCACTCAGTCTTCCTCAGCTATCTGACCCAAATGCTGTGGACACGTGATTTTTCCCACGTGTGACGTCAGCAAAGGGTCAAAGGTTGTCTGAAGGCGATATCGCCCCCCGTCCCGGTTGAGTGATGGTTGAAGTGCCCAGTTGGGGACCAACTCCCTCGGCATGTTATCTCTCTCTATTAGACCAATTTCTACTCTTTCCAGACGCCTCCCGAAGCCTGATAGAGGCTACCTAACGAAGCTTGCGAATCTGTAGTCACAAAGTTGAACATGAGTGTTCTCAATCCGTTTAGCATCAGGGCAACTCTTTAAACGCGGGTTTGATCACAGGACTTGACACTGGACTTGGGTTAACTTCAGGAGTGAAAATCAAGTTTTCCCTATGCCTCGTGTGTGTCGTGCATGTTAACTAGTCTCTACCAGACTGACTACGCTGGCTATATATATATGAGAATATTTGCCAGGGGAGTTTGGCCGCCTTGGGGTTTGACTATGCCACGCAGTTTCGGAGGGAACGAAACTACCTCCCCGCGGCCGGACTCCCCTGGATCTTTGTACCGAATTCTACGATCCGTATTCCCGTAGAAAGGCCTGGCGGAGGCTACATGTTAACTCAGTCCGACACCGTCTTTAACATGATGGTTTTCGCTCCACGTTTTATCGATATCATTCAGCGTCTCAGGAACTCTTTAAACTTAATGAGAGAACTCCGCCGGCAGCAAGATACGGGGATATCTTTGACAGACCGTTAAGTCCGGTATTATCTATTCCTGTGTGCGGCGTGCATCTTAAGTAAACCTGACTGTTTTTGCTTCACCCAGTGTGAGAGAAACCTTTAAAAATTAGTTACAGCAAATCACAGCACTGTCATGTTCCGGCACAAAACCGCCTTCTTAGGTACTTCTTAGCCCCAAATGCACCGGGTTATTATTACCTGCGCAATGAACAACGTAAGTGGAAACAAAATGTAGACATGTGGGATAGACGCGGGCATGTGCAAGCATCAGGGCAAGTGCAGTCAGTAGTATTGACATGTATAAGGACAGAGGGGAGGGAAGCCCGTCCTAGCTCAGCTTTAACCTGGGAGGGGGACTTCGCCTCAGTCACACTAGTCTTATTCCACTCTGGATGGTAAAAGTGAAGAACCATAGCCTGTAGTAGTTCCTACACGCGATGGCCTGCAGTTTGAAAGCATGGTTAGTGCAGCGGGAGCATCAAGTCCTGGGGGATCCTAACGCCTACAAGTCTAGGTTGATTCCGTGATTGTTGTGGATTTTTTACTCACCATGTTGACTTCTGAGATCTGGTCGATGCTGGCTATCGTCATGCTGAAGCTTATTTCGACCGGGGGTCCTTTCAGGGAAGAAAGGTAGAAATTAGAGTATACCAATTACAGTATGAAATCCGCTATTTAAGCACTCGTAAAGCACTGGTAAAGGTCTTATGCGTTTTTTTTTTTACAAAGTTTGCTTATGCAATATTTACGGGTCTCAAAGTATTGCAATGTAAAAGTCAGGACATACATGTATGGCAATCACAACAGTATTTCCTTTACGTACTCGTAAAGCACAAGTCAAGTTCTTTGTGATTCGTAAAATATTCTTATTCAATATTTACAGGTTTCTTAGTATTGCAGCCAATCTAAGTTGTTAGTGATAGTGACAAAAAGTATAGCTTTCATATAACACCATGCTTCAGTTTTTCATGAACTGATCAATTACTGTAGTCTACCTTACAATCAATTCGGTAATGTTCTTCCCTCCATATATGAATTAGTTTAAAAAGAGTATTGTGAGAAGAAAAGAGAAGAAAGATAAAACACGTTTCTTTAGGTATTTATTTTTCCGGGTACAAATCTACAATAGCTAAACGATTTCTTCTCATTTTCCTGCCATTTAGCAGCGTCCTTGGAAGTCTAGCGAGGTTGTTACGCCAATATTAACGGCAGGTATGATTTTAGATCGGGTCAGGCTAGTATTTCAGCCGTAAAAGGGTCGTAAAAGCGTCGTGTTTTATCCGAAGCCACGCGGCCGAACCCGGGAAACTAGATCTAGTAATAAAAGTAAAGGTTCTGATTTGGCATTCTAGGAAATAGTTCCTCTTTATGCAATACCTACGGGTGTCTGAGCATTGCATGTGCACCACACCACTGCTAAGTGACTAGTTGGAAGTCTTGCGAGGTTGTTACACCGATATTAACGGCTGCTATGATTTTAGATCGGGTCAGGCTAGTATTTCAGTCGTAAAAGGGTCGTAAAAGCGTCGGGTTTTATCCGGGTTTTACCCGGGAAACTACAGCCTTGTCGGATAAAGGCGCAATCGTGTCCATTTACGCTATTTATTACTGCAGATTGCCTGGCGCTGAATAAGGCCGTAATTCGTGCCCGGGTAATGCGAGGTGTGTCATGGCTGCACTCATTACCTCATAACCGTCCTGGGCTGGAAATACTGGGTGCATGTGCACCTTAGTGCACCCAATTAAAGTTGGAGCTATGCACCTATTTTTTTCTGTGGGTGCACCAGTGCATCTGAATCTATTTGTAGGTTATGTATGTAACGATGCTACCGAATAGTAGTATAAAGCAGATTCTTATAAGTGCCAGAAAAATAATTGTTGTAAGTACTTTCTTTTTTGGAAATGAAACATAATTAGTTTTGGCTGACATTCTACTTATTTTATATGATATGTTGCACCCCCAAACTCTTTTGTGCACCGAAACTTTTTTGGCTGGGTGCATTTATACCCAAAATGAATTTCGAGCCCTGCCATTAAACCGAGTTACACTAATGCAGTCCGTCTGCCTACCGGAGCCTTTTCTTTGTCCCTCTATTAGCAGGAAGGTGGTAAACTGAAGCTCACCCACGCTTTTAAGCTTTATTGCAGCAAAAATGGTTCCAACTATCCATTTGATAAGGAATGGATCTCTCGTCAATTCAGCGGTACATAAAAACTTTCTTGTTAACAGCTCTGAGAATTTAACGTAATTCGTAATCGGCGGCGAAAATTTTGCGTAATTCGTAATCAATAAACCTCCATGCAGACCCTCATGGAAATGTGAGAGATTCTGAATGACTGAACGACAATGACGGATAGAAAACAGTAAAACTCTGCAGCCTTCTGAAACAAAACTTTTATATTGTATTTCTTATCACTCTTTTGTAAGTGGTACTTATTATTGACATATGGTTTCAGGTTACGTCTATAGATAATTTTCTGTTCTCTTTCTCAATGTTGAGAGTTCGTACTCACCATTGAAGTTTGGTCTCAGGTTTCTGTCGTAACCCCGACTCTCCAACATTTTAATCAGAGTGTCCTGCGACCTGGAAAAAAAAACACGAAAAATGCCGTCACAAATGTGCAAACAACGGGATCCTTCAGTCGTAATGGGGGCTTGAACACGGGTAAATATAAGTTCTGAAGCAACAGGAGCTTTTTGACTAATTTGCATCATCCTTCTCTTGACTTGTCTAACTTTTGTTTCCTTTTGGTCTTCCAAACATTTTGTCTTCACTTATTTGCATATCAATCAACAGTTCGTGCTTATAAACCTGCTTTTCTCCTGCAAGTCTCCAGTGTCACTGACGAAAGCTAGTGGATACTAGCTGAAACGTATGACCGTTTCCAAAATCACATCCAGTTGCTTGAGTAACTTTTTTGTTGAATGAAATCCTTTAGTCTCATAGGAGGCTATAATACAAGTAAAGGCAACAAGTAAGAATATATTGGGCATAGATGACAGTTCATAGATATGTGCAGTCATCCATGGAGTCTGAGTCACCAAACAGGTCACCGGAAAACTTCAGATAAATTGAGTTCATTGTAGTTTAAGTGTTGTAAGATTGTGGTCTCTTGTTGTAAATTTGTGGTTAACTGTTGTAAAATTGTGGTTAAGTGTTGTAAGATTGAAACAATGAATCTTTTACTGCGACATTTCACTATGTAGGTCACAGCTGTCAGGTGTCTTTAGGCTATTGAGATAAAACATGGTTATGGCAATTTCTATACAATAAAAGACGGAGAAATGCCGCTATTACAAAACGATTGGACTAAACAATTGGATTCAGTGGAATTTAGCAATCTGGGACAATATTGGGGGGTTGGGAATCAGTTCAATTGTTCCTTAATGTAATTTATCAACTTTAAAGTTAAAACCACACTATCCCAATGTATATTGACCCGCATAGAGCAAAATACCCATAATTCCGATGGGAAATGGTTACTGGAAGGGCCCTGGGCTGATTTTTAGGGCACCACCCAGAATTAAAATAAAGGACTCATCTTGGGGCTTGTTTCTGCAGTTCTAAAAGCCCAAAGTATGAAATGTTGACACAAATGCACCAATGTAAGGCAAAGATTGTCTTATTCAGAATATTTCCAGTTTTGCTGCCCTGAAATCGCATTGAATACCTTTAACCATATCTGCAGTGTACCCAATAATGTCAATACAGCCTAATAATACATATATTCCCTATCATTGTGGAGTGCACATATCCATTATGAAATGGTGCTCATTTTCAATCATGTTTGGACAAAATGGACAAAACCATTGGTCATTTGGTATTTTCTTGTGTCGACCCATTTCTATGTTTAATTTATGACAACTAAAATGTTTATACAGTATCAGCCACTTAACCGTTTCTGCAGTGTACCCAATAATGTCAATATGGCCTAATAATAGCGATATTACCTTCACTTTATTGGCAAAGTTGTCTTCACTTTATCTGCATATCAATCAATAGTTTGTGCTTATAAACCTGCATTTCTCCCCTGGTCTCATAGTGTCACTAAGGAAAGGTAGTGGATGCTAGCTGAAACGTCTGACCGTTTCCAAAATCATATCCAGTTGCTTGAGTAACTGCTTTTTGGCGTATCGTATTACCTGGATGTCTAACCTTCACCGACGTAATACCGATATTCCCCAACATCCGGAGGATATTGTGCCGGTAATCTGTTCCTAATCAGCAATAGATAAAGCGTTCCCGGGGCAAGTCTTCTGCAGCTCCGCTAAATCAACTGCCGAACCGAACCTGACAGATCTGGTGCTGGATATAATATAAGGCCACAGCAAGAAAATTTTATGGATGATGTCCGCGCGTGCATTGATTTTGACCTGTTCCCATAAAAAAAAGAAAATCCGATTTCTGTAACTATGACTAAAGAGTCACGACAATGCCGCAAATCGCAAGATTGGAAGATGTGATGAAAGGAAAAAAAACAGGGAAGGATGACGACTGCTCTCAGATAAAATTTACTTGCTGTGGGCTTAACTGGTGCTGGACATAATATAAGGCCACACCAAGTAATTTTTATGGATGGCGTCCTCTGAAGACTTCAGATCTAATGCGAGAGCGCGTAAAAAACACAAGAAGGGCCGAAAGATGGAACATGCGAAAGTTTGAAATATAGTAAGGGTCGACAAATGTTAGGACACAAATTGGATGACAGAACACAGTGTAACAACCAAAAAGTCTTTTTTTTACATGAAAGCAGCAATAAATCAGTTTCTTTCCTTTCATCACATTTTCCCTTATCCCACTGTCGTGACTCTTTGGTCATAGTTACAGGAAACAGAATTTCTTTTTTCTGGGAACAGGTTAAAACAAAACAGAAATGAAACTCATGATCAATGAGCGTAGTTAGAGAGCTCACGAGGCAGAAGACACGGTGGAAGAGATGTAGAAAGACTGAATGTGGCTACAGGGCATTTCCATACGACTGTAGCCGCAGAACACAGTGGATGATGATGATGAGGTAAAATCAATGCGCGCGCGGACGTCATCCATACAAATTACTTACTGTGGCCTAATACAAAACTGGAACCTTCTGTCAGAGTTCGGCAAAGTTAATGCAAAGACGGAATCGATTTCCGGTCCGATTAGTTTTTCAATGGAAAAATACACAGAACCAATTTAGCTCCACCTCGGGGTGAGTTAGCTGTGTATCAATCTCTGTATCTCAAGACTAAAACTCGCTGTCTCCAACTACAGTAGTAGCCTCCATAGCATGCAAAAACTGGGGGTTTTGGCGGTCTTCAGGGTCTTTGGGAGCTTTTATGTGCTATTTTCTGATAGCATATAGAAAACATAGCCGGCCTGGTTGAATTACCCCCGTTTTTTGAACTTGGCTTGACCACCAAACCCACAGTTCTATAAGCCTGCTACGGAGGCTAGTACAGTAGGGTAATTATCATTAGATAACTTTAAACGATGTTTAGAGTTAGATGTTCAAGGGTTAGGTGAACCGATTTAGCTCCATCCCGGGGTGAGTTAGATGTGGTATCAATCTCTATACGCATCTCATGAGTGGACCTCGCTGTCACCAACTACAGTAGG